CCCCCGGCTGTACCACCACCACAACGCACCATGTCGATGATCTGGGACAAGGTCACCTCCAAGGTCACATTCAGAGTCTGGTCAGTGTCTGCCACAGGTCTCAGGGCACTTGTATAGTTTGCAAAGAGGTCACGGAACAGCTTGTGAGCCAGCCTGCCCTCGGCTCCCGAGCACTCTGGAGGATCAGCGAGAAGGGTTGTCCATCCGGGACCCTCGTCCACCAGCCTCTGGTCACAGCCTCCAGCCAGGGCTGGGGCTTTGTCCCCTGCTCCACACCTCTCAGTCTTGCGGATGTCCTCCTGATACCTGCTCTCCCTCACTCTAGCTATGACTCTACTCCCTGGCCTGCCTCCAGGGACCGATGGAATAAAGGCCACAGAGTGATTTGGTACTATCTTCTGGAACAAAACTGACACATTTCTTCCCCACCCTTCCCAAGGACCTGGATTCTGCCTGCCCTGCCCCTAATGCTGGAGGGACCCAATAGGCTATAGGAGTCCAAACTTTCACCCAGGTAATCGGAATCCCATTACTTTCCATCTGTACTTTGGTTGGTTTCTTCAAAGCTTCTGATACTATAGTGCTGGGTGTCATGACTCATGCCTGTAATGCCAGCACTTTGGGAGGCTTGAAGCGGGAGGATCATTTGAGCCCAGGAGTTTTGGACCAGCCTAGGCAAGACCCTGTCTCTACAAAAAAATTTAAAAATTCGCCAGATGTGGTGGTGCGTGGCTGTAGTCCCAGCTACTTGGGAGGTTGAGGCAGGAGGATCGCTTGAGCCCAGGAATTTGAGGCTGTGGCAAGCCATGATAGTGCCACGGCACTCCAGTCTGTGTGAGAAGAGCAAGACCCTGACTAAAAAAAAAAAAAAAAAAAAAAAAAATCTTCTGATGCTTTTGGACATTCCATCCTCTGAAAACACTCTTCCGAGCCTTTCCTGACACATTTTCCCCAATCCCTGACTTAAATTGTCCCTCAGAATCCTGTCCTTGAGTCTTTTCTTTTTCTCCCTCTTTTTTTTTTTGAGTTGGAGTCTCACTCTGTCGCCCAGACTGGAGTGCAGTGGCAGCTCCTGGCCACCGCAGCCTCGACCTGCTGGGTTCTGGTGATCCTTCCGCCTCAGCCTCCCAAGAAGATGGAACTACAGGCACGCACTACCACGCCTGGCTAATTTTTGATTTATTGTAGAGGTGAGGTCTCGCCAAGTTGCCCAGGCAGGTCTCAAACCCGCGGGCTCAGGCAATCCACTCACCTCAGCCTCCCAAAGCATGGGATTACAGGCTGAACCACAGAGCCCGGCTCTCTTCTTTCTCTTAAGCCCAGATTTTTCTCCTGAACTCCAGACCCATACATACGTATGGCAATCCACTCCTGAATTTCCTACAGGCACTTTGTAGGTCCAGAATATGACCCCACTTCCTCCCCTCATGCCCTCATGCTCTGAAACCTGTTTCTTATCCTGTATTCCCTCCCTCGGCAATCAGCATCCCTTGTGACCCCAGCCAGAAATCTGGGAATTATCCTTCCCTTTTCCCTCATCCTCCACGCCCCCCTGCAATCCAACCAATATCCAAATCCTGTCAGATCTTTCAACTGCTCCAAATTTTGGTCATCTCCTCTTGAATCCATCCTCTCCCCTTTGGGTCAGGCCCATCCTCCTCACTCCCCACCTCCCCTCCACATTTCAGTAGATCAAACTTTTAAACAGGTGCCTCTGACCAGGCTCCCTGTTGACTCCCCACCAGCCGCAGGATAAAGCATTGGCCTGGCCTTCAGGCCCTTCATGATCTCGCCCCTCTTTTCCAGCCCTAGCTCCAGAAGCTCATCGCCCCCTCCCCCGCCCCCACTGCATCCTCCCCACCAAGCAAGCCTTCTCCCACTCTCTTCAGCACCCCTTTCCTCCACACTCCCTGAATAGAGAGCTGGTTCTCAGCACTTGTGCTGAAGAGAAAGTTAAGAGCGACTTTGTCGAAAGAGACATGGGTGGGGGAGCAGCAACACCAGGAGAGGCCAGAACTGGTTTACTGAGCTTCATACCTGGAGGCAGGAGAAACAGGAACAGAAGGCTCAGGCTGAGGAAGTGGCTCCGGGGCCCCATGGCTCTGCCACAGCAAGTGGCATAGGGGTGGGGCAGGTCTCCAGGTGTGAGGCCTCCTGGCCAGAACTAGGGCAAAATTAGGCCCAGTAGGCAAGGATGGTGTGGACAGTACCTGGAATTCACAAGGAAGACTGAGATCTCCGGTGGGTCCAAATAATCCCCAGGAAGCCCTCTAACCCTCCCAGTTATCTGACCCTCATTACTATGGCCTTTGCTGCTTGTCCCTTGGCGTATGCTGTTTCTCCTCTGCTGGTCCTTGCCTCTTCTGGCCTTTCCTTCTGCCCTTTTCTATGTCCCCCCACCCCATCTTTCACTCTCTCTTGTCTCTCCCTGTAACTCTTGGCCTCTCAGCCTCCCTGACTCTGATCTTCTTGTCTGCCTCTTTCTACCCTCTCCCCTTCTTCTACTTGTATCTCACCTCCCCTTCCTTCCTTTCTCACACCTGGACTCTAAGTGAGCCTGCCGCTCCCTGAGCAAAATAAGGGGCAGGGACTTGTCAGCCCTGAGGAGTCTGAAACACAGGACAGCAGCCCCCCCCCCGGCCAGGACACCTGTGCCCATGGGAACTGAAACCGACACCTCAGGTTCCTGGAACCTGAATTATTCAAACTCTGTAAAGCAGCACCAGGTTCAGCACAAGCCCATCCTGGGAGGTTGGAGAGCACAGGTGTGCTGGGGTCAGGATCTGCAGAAGACTACAGCAAGGGGCAAGGGCCAGTGGACAGGTAACTGTGCTCCCTGCTCTGCCATCATTGCCTGCATCCCAGAGGCTCCCTTTAGACCTGCAGCTCTCCTCCTGGTGAGGGACGGAACACATTATGCCAGGAGCTTTGTGCCAAGCAAGCCCTCCCTCCTGGTGGGAGTGGTGCTGAGCCTCAAGCTGCCCCACAGAGCAGGAGATGCTGCCCAAACACTGTGGGCAGTATGGGGTAATGGGGAAAGCATAGGTGTTAGAGTTTCATTCGTCTCTGTCTTATGAGTTGTTTGACCTGAGTAAGCTATTGAAACTCTGAGTTTTTGTTTCTTGGTCTGGATAATGAGATGAACAGTACTCATCTGAAGTTGTAAGGCTTAAATGAGATAACCTGATCGTGCAAGGGAATTTCTAGCATGGTGCCAAAGGTCCAGTAGGCAATCGGCAGTATTTACAAGATAGACCCAGTGAGTTGGTCAGGATATCCTCAAGAATCCACATTTAGACTTATAGGTATTTATCATACCCTAAGCTTTTTATTTTTTTGTCCAAGTTGGCCAGTTGCCTGACCAACTGCTACACATACTTTCCTGGCATTAGCACTCATAGCTATGGTTTCAGGAATTGTGGATACGCCAGTGATTCCCTGCTTTCTCCAGCCCAGTCTCCTCTCCTGGTGCTGGACACAACCACTTTCTCAGCTTCTCCCTCTGGATGAAGCTCCCTCAGCATTTCACATCATTTCAAAATGACAACTCACAAAATCTGATATGCGTTCATGCTAAAAACTCTAAGCTAACTAGGAATAGAGGAGAATGTTTGCAACTTGTCAAAGTACTTAACAATGACAAAAAAAAAAAACCCTCTAAGCTAACATTATACTTATTGGTGAGAAACTGGAAGATTTCTCTTAAGATCAGAACAAGGAAAGGATGTATCTGATCATCTCTCCTGTTCAACATCATATTGAAGTTCTAGTTAGTTCAACAAGACAAGAAAAGGAGACAAAAGGTATGCAGACTGGGAAGGAATAAAACTGTCTTTGTTTGCAAATAATGACTGTTTATGTAGAAAATACCAAATAATAATGAAACTTCTAGAACTAATAAAGGATAATAGCAAGACTTCAGGATACAAAGTTAATATATGAGTCATTTGCTTTCATATATGCCAGCAATGAACAATTAGGATTTTATTTATTTTGAGTTGGAATCTCACTCTGTCACCCAGGCTGGAGTGCAGTGGCACACTCACGGTCACTCCAGCATCCACCTGCTAGGCTCCAGCGATCCTTCCGCCTCAGTCTTCAAATTAGCTGGAACTACAGGTGGGTGCTACTGCACCCGGCTAATTTTTTTAGTTATTGTAGAGACAAGGTTTTGTCAAGTTGCCCAGGCTGGTCTCAAACCTGTGGGCTCATGCAATCCACTCCCCTTGGCCTCCCAAAGTGCTGGCATTACAGGCTGAGCCACTGGGCCTGGCCACAATTAGAATTTTAAGTAAAAACACAACGGCCACTCAAATTAGCACCAAAAAAACAAAACAAAACAAAAAAACACACACACACACAAACAAAAAACTACTTAGGAATAAATCTAACAAAATATATACAAGACCTATATAAGGAAAACAGTAAAATTCTGATGAATTTTTTTGTGTGTTGGAGTCTCACTCTGTTGCCCAGGCTGGAGTGCAGTGGCACGTTCACAGCCGCCGCAGCCTCGACCTGCTGGGCTCAGGCGATTCTTCCACCTTAGCCTTCCAAGTAGCTGGAACTACAGGCATGTGCCGCCATGCCCAGCTAAATTTTTTTTGATTTATTGTAGAAACGAGATCTCACCAAGTTGCCCAGGCTGGTCTCAAATCCCTGGGCTCAGGCAACCTCCTCACCTCTTGCCTCGGCCTCCCAAAGTACTGGGATTATAGGCTCAAGCCACCATGCCCGGCCCAAAAAGAAAATTTTAAAAAGAACTAAATAGAGATTAAATGTTCATGAATGGAAGAAAATTTTAAAAAGAACTAAATAGAGATTAAATGTTCATGAATGGAAGACCCAATGTTGTTAACGTGTCAGTTCTTTCAAACTTGATATATAGAATCTATCGATGCATTTTTTTTTTTTTTGAGTCGGAGTCTCACTCTGTCGCCCAGACTGGAGTGCAGTGGCCGTTCCCGGCCACCGCAGCCTCGCCTGCTGGGCTCTGGCAATCCTTCCGCTTCAGCCTTTCGAGGAGCCGGAATTACAGGCGCGCGCTACCACGCCCGGCTAATTTTTGATTTATTGTAAAGATGAGGTCTTGCCTGCCCAGGCGGGTCTCGAACCCGCGAGCTCAGGCAATCCACTCACCTCAGCCTCCCAAAGGCACGGGATTACAGGCTGAGCCACCGAGCCCGGCTCTATCGATGCATTCTTCATGAAAGTCACAGCAAGTTATTTTATTCAACAAACTAATTCTCAAGTTTATATGGAAAAGCAAAAGACCCAGACTAGCCAACACAACACTCAAGAAGTAGGACAAAGTTGGAGGACTGACAGTACCTAACTTCAAGACTAAACTATAAAGCTACATCAGTGAAGACAATGTGGTATTGGCAAAAGAACAGACATGCAGATGAATGGAATTGAATAGAAAGCCCAGATACAGAGCAACACAAATATAGTCAACTGGTCTCTGACAAAGGAGCAAAGGCAATTCAGTGGAGAAAGACTAGTCTTTTCAAAAACAATGTTGGGGCTGGGTGCAGTGGCCATGCCAGTAATTCCAGCCCTCTGGGAGGCTGAGTGGGAGGACTCCTTGAGCCCAGAAGTTCGAGACCAGTCTAGAAAACATAGCGAGACCTCGTCTCCACAAAAAAAATTTAAAAAAATTAGCCAGGTATGGTGATGTGCACTGGTAGTCCCAGCTACTTGGGGAACTGAGGCAGAAGGATTGCCTTACCCCAGAAGGGCGAGGCTGTGGTGAGCTGTGATCATACCACTATACTCCAGCCTAGGTGACAGAGTGATACCCCAACTCAAAAAAAAAGTAAATGAGGCTGGGTACAGTGGCTTATGCCTGTAATCCCAGTGCTTTGGGAGGTTGAGGTAGGAGGATCGCTTGAGCCCAGGGGGTAGAGTTTATAGTGAGCTATGATTACACCACTAGACTTCAGCCTGGGTGAGAGTGAGAACTTGTTGCTAAGAAAAAATTAAGCTGGATGTGGTAGCTCATGCCTGTAATCCCAATGCTTTGGGAGGCCAGAAGTTTGAGACCAGCGTGGGCAACATAGTGAGATCTCGTCTGTACAAAAAATAACTAGCTGGGTATGGTGGTACACACCTTTAGTCCCACCTACTCAGGAGGCGAAGGCAGAAGGATCATCCGAGCCAAGGAATTTGAGGTTGCAGTGAGCCACTGCACTCCAACGTGGGTGACAGAGTGAGATTCTGTCTCTAAATAATATTAATGATGATAATAACTTTTAAAAAAGTAAATGGCATAAACACCAATTAAGGGACAGACTGAAAAAGTACTATTAGGAGAATGAAAAGACAAGCTAGAGATTGGGAGAAAATATTTGGAATTCATAAACAAAGAACTCATATCAAGAATATATACAGAATTCTCAAAACTCAACTATAATAAAAACAAATTTTAAAATGAGCAAAAAAAAAAATTAAAACAGAAACCACACACACACACAGAGAGAGAGAGAGAGAGAGAATATGAGAATCAGCAAAGGACTTGGACACTCCACCAAAGACACAAGGATGGCAAATTAACACATGCAAAGATGGTCAACATAATCAGATATTAGGCAACTCAAAATAAAACTACTATGAGATACTACTACAACAGTTACTAGAATGGCTAAAATAAAAAATACTAACAATACTAAGTGCTGGAGAGGTTGTGAAGTTACTGGAACTTTCATACATGGGGTAGTGGGAATGGAAATGGAACACGGCTTGCCAGTTTCTTGATTTGTTACACCTGCACTTAATGTATGACCCAGGAATTGCAAGCCTTAGAGAAGTGAGAACTTTTATGGTCACACAAATACCTGCACGTGAATGTTTAAAACAGCTCTATTCCTAAACTGCCAAAACCGTTAAAGTCAAAATGTCCTTCAGTGGGTGAATAAACAAATTGGTTTACCTGTACAATAAAATACTATTTGGCCATGAAAAGTAATGAAGTACTGATACCTGGTACAAGATGGATGAACCTTGAAAACACTGCTAAGTGAAAGCAGCCCATCATGAAAGACTACTTATTTTAAAATTCCACTCATGCTACATTATGTAAAAACAAAACTATATTGATGATGAACAGGTTGCCAGAGGTTAGGGACAGGGAAAGGGTGTGACTAAAGAAATAAGAGGGAGGCTCGATTTTGGACACATTAGAACTTTGGGCCCGCCGGGATGGCCAGCGTAAAAAAGTGCCACTTCCTATTAAAAAAAAAAAAAAAAAAAAGAGCCGGGCTCGGTGGCTCAGCCTGTAATCCTGCGCCTTTGGGAGGCTGAGGTGAGTGGACTGCCTGAGCCCGCGGGTTCGTGACCAGCCTGGACAATGTGGTGAAAACTCATCTCTACAATACATAAAAAAGTAGCCAGGCATGGTAGCGTGTGCTTGTAGTTCTGGCTACTTGGAGGGCTGAGGCAGAAGGATCGCCAGCACCCAGAAGGTTGATGATGGGTTGACGCTGGGGTGTCCGTGAGTATGCCATAGCACTCCCGGCTGGGCGACAGAGACTCCAGCTCAATACACACACACACACACACACATCATAGAAACAAACAAAAGGTAATTTTTCCATGTAATTTTAAAAATGAAAATTAATTTGTACATAACTAATATAATGTAGGTTTATTTTACTTGCTATGGGAGGAAGATAAGACTTAACAGTGGGTGGTAGTTGGTGGAGGAATAGGTGTGAAGGTCAAAGATGCTTTATTCTTTCTGCACCATGTTCTTTAGTAATTTTTAAAATATTTTGGGGGTGTAAGGCTATCTAACACTCAAAGTACAGTTAAAAATGTCTTGTCAGCCAGGCACAATGGCTCACGCCTGTAATCCCAGCACTGTGGGAAGCTGAGACAGGATTCCTTGAGGTCAGTAGTTTGACACCAGCCTGGGGAACATAGCAAGACCCTGTCTCTATTAAAAAATGTAAAAGGCCGGGTGTGGTGGCTCAAGCCTGTAATCACAGCACTTTGGGAGGCCAAGGTGAGAGAATTGACTGAGCCCAGGGGTTCGAGACCAGACTGAACAACGTGGTGAGATCTTGTTTCTACAATAAATCAAAAAATTAGCCAGGTATGGTAGTGCGCGCACCTGTAGTTCCAGCTACTTGGAAGGCTGAGGCAGAAGGATCACCAGGGCCCAGCAGGTCAAAGCTGCGGTGGCCGTGAGCGTGCCACTGCACTCCAGCCTGGGCAACAGAGTGAGACTCCAACTCAAAAAAAAAAAAAAAAAGATGAGCATGCACAACTCCAGTAAAATTGATTAATAAGTTTAAGAGTTGGTTATCTGAATAACGACAAAAATATCTGGAACAATTTTCTGGAAATACAAATTAACAAAACAGTTAAATAGTAAAATATCTAAAAAGAGCAGCTGCTCTGCAGACTTGGTTCAGCTATTCCAACAGTTAATTCTCCAGACCTCTGTTAACTTTGATCTTGGCATTATTCTGAGGTTCTGTTGAGAAAATAAGTTATTTGGATTTTGTAAGGCGGTTGTGGATTCCATAGCTCTGTTGTATCTTGAGAAAACTGGTTCCTGTTTAATATTTTTGAGAAATTAAAACTTTTTCTTTTTATTACAGTGGGATTTAGGGATGCAGAAGAGATTGTTCAGCCTTACCTTGAACTGGAGGTCTGTTCTCCATTATGTAACACAGCTTCCAAGATAAACATTTGATTTAGAGCCTTTTTAAATATAAAGGAAATAATACTTACCTTAAGAGGAAATACTAGCCAGATTCACAATTCTCAACACTACTAAAGGCCAAACATTTCTATAGCACACTTACTTTTTGAAAAATTCCAGCTGGGCTCAGTGGCTCAGCCTGTAATTCCACGCTTTGGGAGGCCGAGGTGAGTGGATTGCCTGAGCCCGCAGGCCTATAGTTCCAGCTACTTGGAAGGCTGAGGCGGGATCGCCGGAGCCCAGTGGGTCGAGGTTGCCGTGGCCAGGAGCATGCTACTGCACTCCAGTCCAGGAGCATGCTACTGCACTCCAGTCCAGAGTGAGACTCCGACTCAAAAAAAAATAAATAAAAATAAAAATTCCTCTAGTGAGGAAGCAGGTCAGTAATTCTTTGCTAGAAGCCCAACAAAGCTCTGTGACCCAGGTTCACACAGCGAGTTAGTCATGGAGGGGAGGATTCCCAGCTGAGTAACACTTGTCCTCGGGCTCGAGCCAGATGGAAGTGCCAGCCACCGAGAAGACCCACTCTGCTTTCTTCTACCCAGATTCCTCCATGTCCCAGAAGCCTTTGGACCAATCCTACTTGGGATTGGCTCACATCTTCAGTTTGACAAATCAAGATAATATCTGAATAGTACTCATGTTGCTCATTTGATCCTTCTCAAAAACAACCCTGTATGAAGTAACAACATCAGGGGTCATTATCTCCTTTACACAATTTGACAAATCAAGATAATATCTGAATAGTACTCATGTTGCTCATTTGATCCTTCTCAAAAACAACCCTGTATGAAGTAACAACATCAGGGGTCATTATCTCCTTTACACAAAGGAACTTTTTTTTTTTTTTTTTTTTGAGTAGGAGTCTCATTCTATTGCCCAGGCATGCTCACAGTCACTGTAGCCTTGGCCTGCTGGGCTCAGGCAATCCTTCCACCTCAGCCTTCCAAGCTGGAACTATAGGTACATGCCACCACGCCAGGCTAATTTTTTGATTTAACGTAGAGACGATGTCTCACCAAGTTGCCCAGGCTGGTCTCGAACCCCTAGGCTCAGGCAATCTTCTTGCCTTGGCCTCCCAAAGTGCTGGGATTACAGGCGTGAGCCCATCATACCTGGCTTACACAAAGGAATTTGAATTGAGAAAGGTGAAATGTCGCCTAAGGTTTAAAAACAAAACAAGGAGAGTACAAGAGCAAGGGGGCTTTGAATGGTATTCTACCAGGCAGTTCGAGACCTCAACTGGGAATCCATATAAATATATGTATAGTCAATTCCCTTGTCCCTAAATGGGCCTTTATACATTTAGCCCTGGGGTTAGTCTGTATCTTCCTTTAGCACCAAATTGCTTTCTCTTTAACTAATGGCCTGTCTCCACTTAGACAGCAAATTCTAAACAGACAGGTTAAATCAAAAGAGACCACCATAAAGATCCTCAGGGCAAGAAGGCTAAAAAATAAATAGGAAAAGCCAATACAAGGAATGCTATAAACATTTTATTTTATTTTTTTAAGAAAGTAGCTTCAGAAAAAGAGGAAAATAATCTAGGTCATTTATTTATATATATATATTTTAATAAAAACCTTTACATAATCTTCATGCATAAAGACCCAGGGGTGGCCATGGTGCCTGTGACAGCCCTAACACCAGCTCTCAGGCCATTTCCTGGGACTCCCTACAGCTGGCAGCAGTGCAGCAAAGGTTCTCTGACTGCTCCTAAAGCTCAGCTCCTTGCCTGCCTCAGTAATGGTTTTACCTTCTGGGAGGATAGATGAAAGGTGAGAAATGCCTTGGGAATAATATGGAACAAAAAGGGCTACCCAACCTACCATTTTTTATCTAAACCCTCAGGCAAATCCAGACAGAGTTCTAAATAACATGACAAAACCAGGAAAGGTATGGTGCTCATGAAACAAAACAAGCCTTGAAGACTGACCCCTTCATGGCAGGCATTCACTTCTACTCTAAATGTGCTGGAAAGACCTTGTTGTTTCCTAACTCAGTCCAACCCTCTTTTGACTCCTAAACTCAATATTAACTAACAATCTACTTCAGGGAGAGGTTTCCTCCTCCTTCTGTGGATAGTTTATCTGCTACGGAAGGACATTCCTGGATCAACACATTTGTCCCATCACCTGTCTCATTCCTCCTAAAGAGTCCTAGTACAAAAGAGCTGGGGTAGGAGTAGGGCAGGTTGGCCTGGAGCGTCACAAGAGCCAGAATGGCTGGGTGTAGAAAAGGATTCCTGGTTCCTTTGAGGAGTCTGCCAAAGAATCTTTACTGACAATTTTTAAAGAGGGGAAAAAAAAATCTAATGGTCTTGAAGATGGTAAAAGGAGTGCATCTCCTTTTTTGGGTTCTAGAAGCCCTTATGCTATGTTCAGTATTAACAAAAGCCCTGAACAAATAGGGGATGCTGCTTGTGGCAGCAGGAAGGGGGACGAGGGGGTGGATTCTATAGCCAACCCAGAATGGCAAACAGGGCCAATAAAAACAAGGCAGGGACCTTTGTGGTGAGTGTGAATGGGCATGTGAGTGTGATGCGAGGAGCCTGGGGCTCATTGGCTCCCAACAGTCAGTTCTCGCAGATAGGACTGTGTGAGGCTGCGCAGCTCCTCCAAGGCGTAATCCTCAGGCATGGGAAGCCGGCCAACGTGGGGAGCCAACAGGCGCCAAGGGACTCGCTGAGGGTCTGGCGTTGAGTCGGAGGTTGCCTCGGGAGCATGCTGTAGACTCAGTACCACCCGCAGTAGGTTGGCTACACGTTTGGCCATGTCTAGAGAGAGAAAGTGAAGTGAGCACTGAGGATGGGGGTTGGGGAAGGGTGGACACTCAGGGTGGGATATAATAATCATAAAGACAGGAAGCAAGCAGGTAGGAAGAGGGGAGAGGCTAGAAGATTACCTGATTGAGCTAGGCGATCCTTGGCATTGTAACATTGGATCTGCTCTACCCGGTTGCACAGTGAAGACACTTTGGCATGTAACTGCTCCAGCTCATAACCTGAGCAATCCACCTATGAAGCAGAGAAGCCAATGATTCCAGGAGCTCTCATCACATCAATCCCACCCACAGACTATATAAAACATGAGATAGCAGTGAGGTGAGGAAGGGGAAAGTGCAAGAAGCATGCTACCTCTGTCTAGACAAGTTGCTAAGTTTGAGAGAGGGCCTACTAAGTCATATTTGAGACAAATATGGTAAGATGCTACTGGAAAGTATTCATAGTGTAAGTAATGGATAAAAATATAGGTTTTGTTTTGTTGTGTTTTGAATCAGGTCTCACTCTGTTGCCCAGGCTGGAGTGTGGTGGCACTCTAACAAAACAAAACAAAATCGGTATTTTCATCCATTACTTACACTACAAATAACTTTCCAGTAGCATTTTATCGTATTTGTCTCAAATATGACTCTTAGTAGGCCCTCTCTCAAAACCCCAAGGCACTCTTTTAGCAGTAATACACAAAGGGAAGGTAACATAGTATCTAGAGCTTTGGATTGGGCAAGTGTTGAGATCATAATTCATGAACCATATAACCAGCAAGCTTTAACATGGCACCAAAAAATCCACATAAATCTGGGATCAGAGAGATGGCATGACTTCTCTTTTTTTTTTTTTTTTGAGTTGGAGTCTCACTC